GAAAACATGGAGGTATTCTGTATGACCCAATAAAAAATAGTGTTTAGAGAGAAGGTTACTTTCAATGCTCCAAAATTAATTTGCAGCTGAGTGACAGAAAAAAGTAATAATAGAAGCCCATTTTGAGGGCCTTAGCCAAAATCTACAGGGGCACAAGTCATGCTGCTTCAGCGACAACAAACCGCAGCCTCTGGAACCTTTGAAACCCTGTGTGGTCATTTTCTCTCACAGTGACTGAAAAGAACTGTGGTGGGTGGGAAAGAAAAAAGAGCCCCTCGCCACTCATAATACCAATCTTATGTATGTAGACGAAAATGGGAGGGATGGGAGGGGTTGGGGGGTGGCAGTCGGACTAAGGCACAATTTTAAAGCGCTTATTGAATTGCCATTACAGCTCCTGAGACTAATTGTGGCTGTTGTGTGTCTCTCGGTGGCCTAGGGGGCTCTGGAGTGGCCCTGTATGCTCTTACTCAGTGGGGTTTTCAAACCGAGTGGCCCTGAAAGAGAACAGGACCACCGTAGATCAATGGCAAACCTTTCACTCTTTCACAGGCCCTCACTAATCCCTCTCATTTGTCTGACATTTGTTGAGGCACATTCACAGTTCCCTGAATTTAGGATTAGGCCTTGTTTTGTTACAAAAACAGCCCAAGTTATAATGCTGAATAGATGGACTAAAGGGTGGACGACGGATGAGTGTGCATGTGAGTTTGTGAGCATGTGTGCATGTGTGTGAGTATGGTTATCGGGTATGCACCATGTTTATGACCAAATTAATGAGAATACAGAACCTATTCAGTGTTTTGTCTTAATTCTCATTTCACTGCTAAGTGATGCAAAAATAATAGTTAGTCTTCTTTTTCCAGAGGATTTGCTGCAGAGACCTCTTATTATCTTCTATTCCATATGGGTATGTGTATGAACTGACGCACAATTACACAAAGAAAGAGGAAAGACCAAGTTCACTGTCCTGAGTCTCCTTTTGAAAATAAACATTTCATAAAACAGAGGAAACACATGAACAAATTGATTCATCACAGTCAAATACCTGCAAAGGAAATACAATTTCATTAAAGTTACTACAATTCCCTTCGAAGCCGAGAGTTTGTCTCTATTGTGCTCTGTCTGAACCTGAGACCGTGCTTGGAGAGTCTTGGCAGCCTGCAGCAGAGCCATCAGACTGAGGCCTTCTCATCACTGAGTGGATTAGTGTTCATGTCTGAAGCCACTTATTGGACATTAGACAGGGCTGCTGAGTGGCACATGCGCCACATTTCCCCTAAAGCCCTGCCATGCCACGCCGCAGGTATGTGGTGCCAACCGGCCAAACCCCATGTCAGGCATTCTCAGGATGCCTGCAGCCGTGCCAGACACCGGGGGACGAGGTGAAGAGATGGACGGAAAGATGACTGTGTGAATCCCAATGGATGAGAGGAAAAGTAAGGAAAGTAGTTGAGTGTATTCCACTATGGGTGGATAAACAAGCAAAAGTATTACAATGGCAAGATGCGCTGATGTTATAACGATAGTGTGTGGATGTGTGGTGACATCAGACCGAATTGTTAAACTGATTACAGGTGGTAAAAACCTTTTAAAAGCAGCTGAGACATGTGTGCACTTCAAGTAGAGGCCGGTATGAGGGTATACAATGCTACACTCAACACAATGAAGTCCAGTATAACTCCAACACTAATCACAACTTCAATTATAAACATATAGTTGAATCAACACAACTTTTAACAAAAAACTGGCCACTGAAAGCTTTGTAAAGAAAGAACATGTGGAAGAGCTGCTGCATCGGACTGTATTATATATTGTATAATAAAATGGCCACTGAGTGTATTGTTACAGCTGCTGCTGTGTGTCTGAAGTGGAGTAATTCATCTATATTCACCGTGTTTCATTTTGGATGTTGTGTTACAGCATCCTTCGGAGAGACATATGTGGGCATTCAATACATCCCATAATGTTATGTAGCTTCAGGTGATCCAGATAATGTTGCCTCTGTGTGTCACTAAGACATCACAGGAGGGAGAGCAGGCGAGCTTGCACATGTCCTGGAAAGGCATAAATTAAATACTAGGAATATAAGATCACAGAAAAGGTGGTGGCATCCTAAAGGGGCACAGACCATCTCCTTATATATAGTTTGGCCAGCTGAGGCAGGCCAGCCACATGTTGGCCAACGTCCCAGTCAACATCATGAGGTTGTCTTTGGCTGTTAGAGACTGGAAAAGACCAAAGTCAGTGCTGCTTCATGCAAAGTTTGAGCTGTGCCAAAGCCTATCCACCCTGCCCCTCAAGCCCCGCTGAGTGTGAAGTAATTCTTCATGCCAGCGAAACCAGACAGACTCTGTGTTTTGTCTCTGCACGCATGACTGCAGTTTTTTTTTTTTTTTTCAATTCAAAGATTAACAGGTGGATGCTCCTCCTTTGAATTCATGTAGAATGTCAAAATCTGCTTTTTTTCCAGTTGGGAGGTTTGATATAAAGTAGATGAGAGCGTTTTTCATTGGATTAAAACCTGCGTTTCGTATCAGACAATATGCATGATTTGCAAATGTCTTACATCATGTTGTTGGAGAAACTAGCCACTGGCTGGAAAACTTCAGGATGTTACATCCACTAAAACTAAGTCTGTAAATAAACAATCTTCCATTCAAATCCTGGAGAAAACCATGGATTTAAAAACATATGTTGACAGACTGTGGAACATAGCAGTGAAATGTAGACTGAAAGCAGTCTAGATAAGCAGTGCGGTTCAACTGCAGGCTAAAGTCTGTAACAAATACTGGACCTCCTGGCTTGACACCTGTGTACATAATGTACAGGTGATCCACGGATCTCAACACAACAATTACCCAGCGTGCTAAAATGCAGAGAAATCAGAAAAGTTTCATTTTTATTTTCATTTCGAAAACACATCTGAAAAAGCCTCTAAAATCTTTTGTTGTGTGTAATAACTCTGTGTGCTTCTGCCTCCTCAGCACATAATTCCAGCCACAGTAACAAATTCACCTACAGTATCATCTTTCATCCAGCAACCCTTAAATGTTTCCTCCTCTAACACAGAAGCTGTGCATCAAATTAGTAGAGGATATCCACACAGACAAGAGTCAAGTCAGATTAAACTGTGGTAAGTATGGAGAGTACATAAAGATACATCCTAATTGTAATTTGACATAAATATTAAATAAAAACTTACCACTAATAAGCTAGTACACCAAACCACACAGTAACCATCTAGTATGCAGTGATGCGCCCCCTCCCTCTGAAGCTCTGCACTGTTTAGTTTCCTGTATAAACTTGGAATATTCAGGAGAAGTCTGTTGTTGTAATTACAAGCAATTTTAAAAAGCCAGTGTAAATAATTGTACCACCAATCAGACAGGCTGCAAGAAAGCATCCACATGTTAGTGAGTAGTCTGTGACAACCATTATTCTTTTGTACTGTAATGGTAGTGGAGATAGCAAGTGCAAAAGAGAGTAATATAAATCAAGGAAAAGCTATCGTCTGACTTCTTTTTGGATCTTGTACTAATATGGAAACATCTAAATGGGATGAGCTTCTTTGGACATATCTGGTTTTTTGCTGCATATTTCTATATCAAACTTGCCTAATATTAACTGGTAATCTAGGAATCATAACATGAATGAATCGTAATATTCAGGTCAAATTTTCTGTTGGGGGGGGTTTATTTGAATGTGCCACAGAGGGCAGGCAGATGCTGTTAGGATGAGTCATTAGACAGCTCAATTTGTAACTTTACATTAGATTTGTACTGGTGGAGAAGTGGCACCCTCTGATGGTCAAAAAGCAGAGCAGCTTTAATGGTCTTATTGCAAACTCTGGCCCCCTCTGCTGGATATCATGAAGAACTGACCAAACTAACAGTTCCAGCTGAGCTGCATGTATATTTAATATTACATTTGATGGTATCCAAATGTAAGTGTGCAAAGTGCAAAGGGACAATGGATTAGCAGGTGTTTGTGCCTATGCATGCAACTCAGCACAATGACAAAGATGGAAAAGCACTGTACAGTTAAGCACAGGGCACAACATGTTGGGTTTGTGTATCTGTGAGCTTAGATGCACATAAATTAAGTATTTGGTTTGTTTGCATGAATCCTACAATATGTCCAATTCACTTTTTTTTGGCACTCCAAAACACACTCCACAAATGTGGTCGAGATATTAGTAATATAAAAATGATGCTACTTCAGACTGTTAGAGGTGTAGCTGACAGGCTGGATGGTGAAAGTGATGTTTATCTAAGGTTTGATTTAATGATGCTATCAATCATATGACTCAGCTCCTTGCTATATTTTTAGTAAGAGCTTAGACTACACTGAAACTCTGCTTTGCTCACAGTGGTACCTCCACAATATTGGCGGTTACTCAAAATGTTTACACACCGTATGTGAGATTAGTGACACATTAAACATCATGCATCAAAATGGGCTAAAAGCCTACACCAATTACGTTTTCTGCTGAGGGTTTGTGTCTGAGTGTGTTTGTATGTGAAGCCATGATTAAAGGTATTTGACTAGAACAGCTGGGGTAGTGAAGTGGTAAATGGAAACTGGTTTAAGTGACCTATTTAGTTTTCACAGGTTCTGGTGCAGCAGCATCAAGGTGTGATGTCTCACTATAACACCTAAAAAAATGCACTGACATTCTTTACTCATAAAAATTGACACACAAAAGTTCACTTCATGTTACTAAGTATTACCTAAACAGTAAAAGAAGGGGGCCCAAAAGGGCCGCAACAGAAACAAAATAAGGATATAGAAAGTGTCATAAAGGGGAAGAGGGGTACAAGTGCACAAAAGGTGTTACTTCACTCTACAAAGGCAACAGGTTGAGGGTCCTGCAGGCAAGATGCACTTAAACCACAAACTGTGGCTGTGTTTTTTTGTTGTTTTTTTTGCACCATTTAGGTTTAAGAGCAGTGTGCTGCTTCACTCCACAAAGGCAATAGGTTGAGGGTGCTGTCTGCATGATGCATGTTCTGCACAAATGTCTGTTCTTTCATGTTGTGACATGGCTCAGACAAAATGGTAAGATTAGACATTAGACATCTCATTCTCAAAGCATACACATGCGACATTGTCACTTTTAATTTTCCTCCTCTTTTCTTTTCAGCTCTTGGGATTGAAATCATAAATGGTAGAAAGAGCAAGGAGAAGTCAATGCTGTATATGGCATCAGTGCAAAACAACAGAGTTCATATATGTGGAGGATTCCTTGTCAGTGAAGACTTTGTAATGACTGCAGCGCACTGTGATGACTTGTAAGTGATCTTTCCTCTTCAAGCAATGATTGATTAAATATAGCTTCAATAATTCTGTTACTCAATTATTATTTGTGCAGAAAACCTACAAGTGTTGTTCTTGGCACCCACAATCTCAAGAAGGTTAAGAATGACATGAGATACGACGTCAAGAGATGCAAACACCCATCTTACGTGAATGTCTCAAATGGGAGACATTTGAGACCTGACTTTTCTGATGACTATGAAAATTGCTCATACTCCAGCACATAAGTCAAAAAAGTTTCCTAGCTTGTGGGTTCGTTTCCATACCCTGCACTCTTATGGCCTTAGAGATCGACAACAAATACTGGAACACCTAAAATATACTGTAAAATTCAAACAAAAAATTCTAAGATATAAAAAACTTCCTGGAACTATTGTTCATGTTAGCTTGAAGTCTGCTGGAAGAAAAAGAAATGTATTTTATATCTCCAGCTGTCTAGGAGAGCACACCTGAGCAAAAAAGTACCAATCAAGCCGATTCAGCTTCCAACTCAACAAAAAAGACTTAAAGAAAACAAAAAGTGCCGTGTCGCCGGATGGGGTTTCACAAGAACTGGTGGCAAAGTTGTTGATGAGCTACAAGTGGTGGATGTGCCAATCATTAACTTGAAACAGTGTGAGAAGAAGTGGCATAATATCCTTCCTGCTGGAGTTATCTGTGCAGGTGGATATGGTACAAACAAAGGATTCTGTCCATTCATAGTAAACATCAACTGGTTAAAATTATATAGATATCTTAAGTAATCAAAAAATAAGCTGAGCTTCTTCCTCCTTACAGGGTGATTCTGGTGGGCCGCTGGTTTGCAACGGGAAGTTGGCTGTTGGAGTTGTTTCCTTTAATAAGCAAATGAACTGTGACTACCCAGATGTACCCAACGTCTATACAGACATATCAAAATTCCTGCCCTGGATCAAAGACACTCTCAAGAAAAAGCAGTGCGAAAAATGATAGTTTGATTGTTTATGAATTGCATTGTGGATGTATTGCTTTGTCCAAGTCATTTTGCCAGCCAAATGAAAAATGTGTTTCCTTCTGTGACACCTGTCATCAGTCAACACAAATGCAAAAGTTTTGTCTAACATATATTCACAAACTTGTGAAGGATAAGTTTGTTGGTACTTTTTAATGTCCATGTTGTCTCTTATTGCTCTCCTATTACTGCTTGAGGTGCAGATATATATATCTGTTAAATAATAAGAAAAAATATTACTGAGCTATAGTTTCATAACGTTGACCGTGGGAACGTCAGTGTTCAAATCTTGCAGCTTGAAACTGTGGTTATAGTGGTTCATCATGACTGTCAGAGTTTTTAAGAAGTGTTTGGTTTGTGTCAAGTAGATCCAGACCAGAGATAATTTGTTGTGTTGTGATTGCGTTGTGCCTGTGTTTCTGCGAAATTTGATGCGGCCACATAGTAGTAGTGAAAAGTTAGAGAAAGAGAACCTAACATGGTCCAAAATAATTCAATTCAAGAGAATGAAAATATCATTGATGCATAATGAAAATGAATGAAAAGGAATGGAGATACAGGAATAATAGATTCATGCAAGATAAGTTTGTATTATTTTTTATTGTAAAGCACTTTGAGCTACAGCTTTCATTATTATTATTAAACGTATGATGACGGCTGGATGAAATAAACTGTGTAGCTATATGATGAGTCTGACTCTTGCTTAAAGACTTTGACACAAGTAGCCTAATATATAAAATATATAATTCTCAATATCTGCTATTAAAGGACAGTTACTGTATAGTTACTGTTACTCATGTCTATCCACTGACTAAGTATTACATGAATTGTTTTATATTTGTGAAAGTTTGTGGAACTGTTTCATAAATGTCTCATCAAAATAATGCAATCACACTACAAGCAAGTCATTTTCAAGGAAGCAATTTGTGTCATGTGTAGTTTTTGACATTATTCTATGGCACTGCAATAAACTGCCCACAGCAGCAGATTGCAAGTAATTCAGCCTATTGATGTGAGACTGAGTAATGGAAATCTAGACTGATCTTCATCTAAGTCACAACTATAGACTAAGACCATGTGCTTTAGCTAATAACACACAAACATTTATGATCTTTCATTTATCTATGGACAACACCCATTAAACTTTCACAGTACTGGTGGAAAAAGTAAATGAACCCATGGATTTAATAACTGGTCGACCCTCCTTTGGCAACAGCCCAAAGGTGACATCTAAAAAGTACATCTATAATAAAGAAATAGATACTAAGGTTGACAGAAACTTAGATGTTGTGCCATAGATGCAAAATGAAAATAGGGAAAAACTGATTCATGTGTACACCCATCACATGCTGATCACATAATGTCTGTACATGCTTCCAGCTTCTAAGGCAGCAGAACCACAAGCTTTATGTTTACTGTAACAATGACAATACTGCATGAGAGTTAATTTCTTTACTGACCACATGCACTCATCACTATAAGACACACTGAAGGTTGCACTGATGCAGAAAACCACAGGGTCGCTCACTGAGAAATTAGCTGCATAAAATGGTCGACTTGACACCCACAGAATGACAGGTTGGGTTTGCTGCCAGCATGATGCATCATCTGCGGAAATTTCTGCTTCTTCATCTTCTGACATGTCTCAGACAAAATGGTAAGATTACTAAATCTAATTATTATTCTCTTTCATACAGGTGGGACATTAACTCATCCTTTATTCTGTTTATTTTTTTAAGCACTTGGGAGTGAAATCATACATGGTAAAAAGGCCCCAGATGACTTAATGCTGTATATGGCCTCGGTACAGCACAATAAAGGTCATGTATGTGGAGGATTCCTTATCAGTGAAGACTTTGTGGTTACAGCTGCGCACTGTGACAAAAAGTGAGTTACCTTTTCTCTTTGAGCAATCTTTGATTCATTTCATGTGACTTAAACCTATGATCACTCATTCAGCGAACCTACAAGTGTTGTTCTCGGAACCCACAATCTCAAGAAGGTTGATAATGGCACAATGAGAGATGTTGTAAAGAGATGCAAGCACCCACGTTATGTGAATCATACATGTGGAAATGACATCATGCTCCTCAAAGTAAGTAAATTAGCTGAACAGTCTAAAATCATGCATTTTTACAGTAAGATCTCTGTACTTCAATTCCTGAACCATCACAGGCAAAGCACTGACCACACTATTCATGCAAGCTACATCATCAAGGAATTAATTTTTCTTTAACTTCACGTTTGATGGAAGACACTTTGCAAGTTTTTATTTGTCCCCAACTGAATTTGATTCTCCAGCTCTCTAGGAAAGTTCAACTGAACAACAGAGTACAACCTATTCAACTTCCAAGGGCTGACAATAAAATAAAGGTTAAAGGAAAGTGTCGTGTAGCTGGATGGGGTCTCACGAAAACTGGTGGTAAGGTTGTTGATGTGCTGCAAGTGGCGGAGGTACCTATCGTTAACCCAGCGGTCTGTAAGAGAGAATGGAAAGAAATTCGAGTCAATCTTCCGGACAATGTCATCTGTGCGGGTGGATATAATACAACCAAAGGATTCTGTCAGGTGTGTGTCCTGGTCATTTCTAGTCTAAATGGTTTCTAGTCTTAAATAATGATTCAACAAATTAGGTTTCTTCTTCCTTCTCACAGGGTGACTCTGGTGGCCCTCTGGTGTGTGGTGGGACAGCAGCTGGTGTTGTGTCTTTCAACATGAGAAGTAACTGTGACTACCCAAATGTACCCAATATCTATACAGATGTATCAAAATACCTTGCCTGGATCAAAGGAATTCTCAAGAAAAAGAATTGTTAAGTGTAACATAGAATGGCATACTTGTCTTGTATTGTGGAGTTATCTTTGTTGGCTCTTTATCTGAAATGCAAAATAAAACTTGCTGTATTTCATTTCCTGTTGTTTCATTCTTCTTGAAAAGGCTATGCAGGGCCCCAAAAAATCAACTCACTATCAAAAGCATAAATCCAACAGCTGATGTACAGGATAAAAAAGCCTGACTGTCAGATATTTATTAATAATGAGATGAATTTAACTAAAGCATTTGTTTCATAAGTGTGGCTGTGAGAATACACAAAGCTGAAAGTGTGGTTCCTGTGGTTCATCTAGTTTGTCACAGAGTTCAAATAGTTGTGTCACGTAGATCCAAACCAGAGACGCTGCTGCATCTTTGTTTTCTACGTGTTATACTTGTCCAACTAAGGTTCAGGGTTTGATGTGGCTGAGTACTATCTATAGAGAAGTGAGTTCAGAAAAGTGTCACAAAGATTGAGATTGGCCTCCGTCATTTTGTGTGTCACCAGCATTAGACTGTATGGTCACCAGCTGTCTCGGGTAGCTCGACTGGGCAAGACAACACAAGACATCCATCTTTCATAATGATAAATGACATGGTGAAGGGGTAAAAGCGTTTTTAGAAATGAAATCTGCAGTCAGTTACATGCTGATCATAAGGCTCCAACCTGCTGCACCACCAGATCTACAAGCAGTCATTACATTTTCAGTAACAATGACAAGGTGCAGGACAAGGATATGGACCTATTAACTAGTTAGCAGGTTTATAGATACATACAAAATATTCTAAATATTTCATACCACAGTTATGAAGTAATACACAAACTCATGGATCTATATGATAAAGAAATGGGAGAGTAATGGGAGAGCATTTTCATCTCTCTGCGTATTAGGCATGGTATATCTGCTTCTTGGATCAAGTTAGACTTCATGTCTTGCAGTAAAATAATCCAGCTAATCTGCATCTCTCATATGTTATATAAAGCCAACAATGGCAGGATCAGCAGAATAAAGTATATATAGTATTCTTAAAGCTATAGTATTCTTCTTAAATAGATAAAATAACACGATCTTGTTATATCAGATGACAATATTTATTTTCTCAAGAAAACAAGATAATTATCTGGTTATCTCAAGAGAGAATGTTTTGTTTCCTAAATATAATTGACCTGTTATTTAAAAATAATGATGTTTAACATTTGATCTTGAGATAACTAGATAGAAAACATCTCTATACTTTCATTGTCTGTATTTGCCAGTTTCAAGAGAGAGGCTTTAACTTCCTGATTTACACCTCTACAGCTGTCTAGAAAAATTCAACAAAACAATTCAAGTTATCAAATAAACCTAAAAGAAAAGACAAGAGTTTTTTAAGGGATGATAGACCCATTGTTTGGATTGGACTCAGAGTCAGAGTGGCATCCTCTAAAGGTCAAAAAGCAGAGAAATTACTAGTCCTACTCTAGACCTCTCTGCTGAGGACACAGTCCACGATGAGCTAACTAGACAAGAAAGCTTATTTATCAAAGTCAAGTTGTCAAAAACAAAACATGACAGGAAGAGTGCATTTTACTGAGTATTGTAAATAATTATATGTAAAGCAAGGTCCTGTCTGGAATTGTATGATTGACCTCGCCTGTTTGTTCTAACCATGGGTGTTAGTTTCATTACTGTGAATATAGACGACTGATGCTCAGATGAGACTGTGGTTTCTGTGGTTTCTGTCTCGTTTACTGCAGATTTCAAAGACATGTTTCAGTTTGCTGTGTCAAGTATTTCTAAACCAAAGAATCTTGGTTTTGCATCTGTGCTCATCACTTGTTAGATAAAAGCAACTTAAGCTCACTTGATGCAACCGAGTTGTAGCCACAAACAGTGAGACAAACAGGCCCCGGCTGAACAAGATAAAACTGTCAAAAATTTAAAAAAATAAATAAGAATGAGAGGAGATAGTATTTAAGTACTGCAGGTAGTTCTTTCATGAAAACTTCTTCAATGATGCATACAACAGAAAATAAATCAACAGAGTATATGTATATCGTAAAATACAAAAATAATATGATTTTAAAAAATCATATAATATGATTTTGAAAAATCAGATGACGCCAAGGTTATGAGAATCCAAATGGCACATCTTGTATTTTTGCATCAAACTTGTCCACTGCCATCACACCAGTACTGTAACAGTGGGTAGGAAACAAACTGGACTGACTTCCAACCAGACAAAATAGACATTACTACTCAATGAGCAGCAGCCCTAGATGTGAAAGGAGAGATTCATTACTCAACACAGCCATTGCATTCACCACTGACTCGTGTCAACATTAACATTTTAGCAATTAGTTTTTTCCCACAATACACACACACACACAATTTGACACCAGGAGGACAGGTTCAGTGTCCTGCCTTCTTGTTCTGACATGCATGGGAACATTAACTCAGTTACAATATTTTCTTGTTTTTCAGACGTGCATGGGGTAGGAGCCCCAGAGAATCTAATAACAACAGAGGTCATGCATGAAGCCTTTGGAGTGTCAGGTTTACGCCACAGGTTTATGCTTTTGCATGGTCTAGCACAAAGTGAGGGCTGGATTAACCCGCAGGGGGGTCCCAGGGCAAAAATGAACTGTGGGACCATTTTGCCCCAACAGTACGTTTCTGCCACTCTCTGCACATATTTTATATGTGCAAATAAAACATTACAAAACACATTTATATAGAAAAATGTGCCATTTAAGAACATTATATACTTATACTTACCCAATAATAGTCTTAAACTAGACTTTCATTAAGGGCCCCTGCCGAGCAGGTAGTGCACAATGAGTTTTCAGAGCTTTTTGCTGAAAACAGCTGCCTGCTGCAGAACGGTTAGAGCTGTGACTCACTATAAGGGTCCATAAAGCCAGCCTGCAGATTCAGGTGACAAAACTCTGCAGGTTCATCAGGTTCAACACTGTCATCTTGTCTTCACATTGTAATTTCATACATCGTTATTAACAAAAAAGTGATTGTAGCCACTGTAACTAAATTTAAAGAAGTCCACTGTTACAAACCATATGTGAGTATTTTAATTAAGTTGATTTCCAAATGCTGTACCCCACCCGACCCATAAATGCGAATGGTAGATCTTTGTCGCTCGAAACTGAAAACAGGAAACTCGCATCTGTGGTTCATCTGGTTTGGCATCAGAGAAATTAGTGATTCACCAAAACCCGAAGTGATAAAATGATGAGAGCTAGAAAACTAGTATCTGGTATCTCAGCTTCTTTTTTTCATCAAATAGCATACACCAGTGTCGGCAGAATTAAGCAGTGTTATTGACTCATCACCCACTTTAAATTTGCTTATTTTAAACGCACAGTATGCAGCTTCTGCCGTTAGGGGTCTCTCAATCAAAACTATAAGAAAAGACGGAATTGGATGACGTCATGAAATAGCGTGGGATCATGGGAGTTGTTGTCTTTACCACCATTACTGTAAGCTTCCCTCGGTTTGGATTCCTTAAGTGTCAGTGGTTCATGAAATCAAACAGACCGGGTTAAAAGCCCTGAATTAAAGCAGTTTCACATTTAAAGTCAGTGTTTCGCAGACGCTGTACGGAGGTCAAAGAGGTCAGGGAAGAGTTGGAGCTGAGATAGATGCTAACTTTTGTTCTGATCGTTTCTCTGATAACTTATGAACTAGACGTTCAGGAGGTTTTTACCGGCAGCCGAATTATCCACAGGGGTTCCTCCTCTCCATATCAAACAGACCAGGGGATCAAAACCGGCAGAAACACCCATAAAGCAGTTTCACTTTAAAAAATCAGTAATTAATTGGCGCCCTGGCAGATCAGCTGCTCACCTGACAGCGAGTATACCACAAAGGCTTAGTCCTACTGGCAGCGGCCGGGGTTCCAGTCCGACCCGTGGCCCGCATGTCATCCTCTCTCTGTCCCTGACTTTCCTGTCTCTCTCACTGTAGTGATCTGAATAAAGGAAAATGCCCTAAAAATAAAACTCAGTGGAGAAAATCAGTGGTTCGCCGAAGCTTGATACATGAGGTCTAGTAGTAACTAGAAACTGAGACTGCTTACCTTTGATTCTTTAATAAATTATGAACCGGAAGTTCAACAGGTTTTTCCCAGTAGCCGAATTATCCACAGTGATCTCCTGCTCTCCATAACCAACTGACCAGGGGATTAAAACCGGTAAACGAATAAAGCAGTCTCACTTCGGCCACGGGGAGTAGCTAAAAAGCTGAGAGTGCTTACCTTTCTTTAATAAAGTATCAACCAGACGTTCAACAGGTTCTTCCCGGTGGAAAAATTATCCGCAAAGGGCCATCCTCTCCATAACAAACTGACCAGGGGATTAGAACCGGTAAACGAATGAAGCTGTTTCACTTAAAATAAAACTTTTTTTTTTTTTTTTTTTTAAATCAGTGATTAACCAATGCTCTTCGGCGGAAACAGGACAGGACTTCTGCAGCTGCTGGGAGCTGAGCTGTTTAACATGTGCCTGCTTTTTTTCTCTGATAACTTAAGATCCAGACGTCCAGTGACTTAAATCCTTCATCAGGTTAAAGTATATAGCTGAAATGCTCAAGGTGTGAAAAGTGTAAGTAGTGTAAAACTAGATAAAAGTCCATTTTGAACTGCTGGCATTCAACTACAATCCAGACTCGTGCTCATGGAGGATACTGACAGTAGACCAAATGACACGGAGCGTTACCATATTAAAATCATATATTTTTCTAGGTTTGAGAATTACTTGAAACATTTGGGAAAATGTAAGTTCCCAACTCAAAAAAATAACATAGCTCTAGTCATTTTTAGACATTTTAATATGGAAAAGTTATATATTTTGCTTATTGTGCACATTGAGGAGAAGAAGACCCGCGTGATCAAAATCAAGGGACTGAAACATCAACAAAATAAATCATGAATGAAGTAAAGCAATGAAGATCAACACTACACACATCAACTTTTCACACTCAAGAATCTTGGTGATGAACTTATTTTTGATTTATTTAATTAATTTAACTAAAGTTCCATCATTTTTGAATAATGAGAGAAAGGAGGTCCAGAGTAGACTAAATGAAGTGTCCCAAATACAAAAAGTAAAACAAAATTGAATGGCCAATAACATAAAAACTAAGAGGAGGAGGAATATATCAATGTGAAAAAGTTTGTTAAACTCAACTTATACTTATTAACAGTATGTGCTTCAGACGGGTGAAGAAGTGGATAATATAAGTTAATAAGATATTACAAAGCTAATTACTGTTGCAAACTTGCATTGCACAAAGGATGTGGTTACAAGTCAAGATCAGATAAACAGCAGCCATACATGCAAATGAAGCAAACAGCTGTATAAAAGGGTCGACTTGACACCTCTCAAGGAGACAAGGTACTTGTCTTGCCAGCATCATGCATGGTCTGCACAAATTCCTGCTTTTTCAGGTTGTGGCATGTCTTGGGCAAGGCGGTAAGATTACAGGATCTGAATATTATTCTCCAACCATTTCACTGAACATAACTTCATTTTGATTTTTATGCATCTTTGCAGCTCGTGGGAGTGAAATCATAGATGGGGAAAAGGCCCCAGAGAACTCCATGCTTTACATGGCCTCAGTCCAGAACAAGGGAGGTCATGTATGTGGAGGATTCCTTGTCAGTGAAGACTTTGTGATGACTGCGGCGCACTGTGAAAAAGAGTGAGTTAGCATTTGTTCATGTGTTGAGAAATCAATGTAAAAGGATTTTATTTCATAAACCTTGTATTTTTTAAATAAGGAATTCATAATTTATTGTTTTCTATTGTTGTTGGCACAATTTTAGAAAATGTACTGATAACCTCTCAATTATCTCTCATTTAGCAATCTTACACGGGTTGTTCTTGGCACCCACAATATCAAGAATGTTGATGAAGGAAAAATCAGATATATTGAGAAAATGTACAAACATGAATCTTATCAGGATGTGTGGACTGGTAAAGACATCATGCTCCTTAAAGTAAGTATATAAATATATTCTTAGGTGGTATCATTCGTTGTTGTGGCACATCCTAATAATACCAAATAAAAATGTTTTGCTATACACACTACATCATGGTTTTATCGAAAAACAATAGCAAAAACACAATATACCAACATCAATATTACAACAATTGTTTGTTACCTTGAAGTCTGGTGAATGAAAATAGACTTTGCCAGTTTTTGCTCTCTCTGATTTCCAGTTGTCTCGAAAAGCTGAACTGAACAAAAAACTCCAAACGACCCCCCTTCCCAGATCTGAAATACATTTGGGGGACAATACAAAATGCTACGTAGCTGGATGGGGCTTCATCAAAACAGGTGGAAGAGTTGTTGATGAGCTGAGAGTGGTGGATGTGTCTGTCATTAACCCACGAGTCTGTCGAGAAATATTACCTCCTGGTCTTCCCAACAATGTCATCTGTGCAGGTGGATATAAAACAAAGAAAGGATTCTGTCAGGTATTTTTTTGTATTATTTTTTTAATAAAAAATATCAGCTTGTTTCTTGTATAGAAATGCAAACATAATATAAAATAAATACATAATAATAATATGAATAAACAAGTAAAAATATTTCCCTCCCACAGGGTGATTCTGGTGGCCCTCTGGTGTGCGGTGGGACAGCTGTTGGTATCGTGTCTTTCAACTGGGAGAAGAACTGCAGCTACCCACATTTACCCAACGTCTATACTGATGTATCAAAATACCTTCCCTGGATCAAGACCATCCTCAAACGCTCGAAACGTTCAGAGTAAAAATCTTGTTCAAAGTTTTGCTTCAGCATGCAAAATTGTGATGTCTCATATTGCTCTGTCAGTGTGACTGAAATTGAAAATAAAAAAGGAATTTCAAATACCAACTTTAAGTTCCTTCTTTAATATCCTCATCAGAAGAAAGTTAATCAAGTTGAGTAATACAGATAGGACAGTTAGGACTTGCCTCCTGTGAGGTGTGTATTTTTATAACAATAACTTGATATATTTGATAAATAATAATATAATAACTTGAGAGACAAGTCTACTTACTGCAGGTCAACTCAAATAAAACCAAGACTCTGACTTTGCTCCAAGTGAGCTTGATTTTGTCACAGACGAAGGCTGTACTGTAGGTGAGAGCTACAGAACTGGATTATCCACTTATATCATCACTTATATCATCATCACTATTTTAGCAATTAGCTATATTTCCACAAGGTTCAAATGACGTATTTGCCCGTGAACCAGAGGCAGATTCAGGGTGGTGGCCAGGATGGTCAGTGTTACCAGCTCAGGTTTCCCTATATCCACACTTCCTTATCCATATTTCAGTAAACCAAAGTGATAAAATGATGAGAGCTAGAAAACTAGTATCTGGTATCTCAGCTTCTTTTTTTCATCAAATAGCATACACCAGTGTCGGCAGAATTAAGCAGTGTTTTTGACTCATCACCCACTTTAAGTTTGCTTATTTTAAACGCACAGTATGCAGCTTCTGCCGCTAGGGGTCTCTCAATCAAAACTATAAGAAAAGACGGCGTTGGATGACGTCATGAAATAGCGTGGGATCATGGGAGTTGTTGTCTTTACCACCATTACTGTAAGCTTCCCTCGGTTTGGATTCCTTAAGTGTCAGTGGTTCATGAAATCAAACAGACCGGGTTAAAAACCCTGAATTAAAGCAGTTTCACATTTAAAGTCAGTGTTTCGCAGACGCTGTACGGAGGTCAAAGAGGTCAGGGAAGAGTTGGAGCTGAGATAGATGCTAACTTTTGTTCTGATCGTTTCTCTGATAACTTATGAACTAGACGTTCAGGAGGTTTTTACCGGCAGCCGAATTATCCACAGGGTGTCCTCCTCTCCATATCAAACAGACCAGGGGATCAAAACCGGCAGAAACACCCATAAAGCAGTTTCACTTTAAAAAAAATCAGTAATTAATTGGCGCCCTGGCAGATCAGCTGCTCACCTGACAGTGAGTATACCACAAAGGCTTAGTCCTACTGGCAGCGGCCGGGGTTCCAGTCCGACCCGTGGCCCGCATGTCATCCTCTCTCTGTCCCTGACTTTCCTGTCTCTCTCACTGTAGTGATCTGAATAAAGGAAAATGCCCTAAAAATAAAACTTAAAAAAGAAAATCAGTGGTTCGCCGAAGCTTGTCTGCGGATACATGAGGTCTAGTAGTAACTAGAAACTGAGACTGCTTACCTTTGATTCTTTAATAAATTATGAACCGGAAGTTCAACAGGTTTTTCCCAGGTCTGTGCCTGTTTTTTTTCTCTGATTATTTAAGATCCAGACGTCCAGTGACTTAAATCCTTCATCAGGTTAAAGTATATAGCTGAAATGCTCAAGGTGTGAAAAGTGTAAGTAGTGTAAAACTAGATAAAAGTCCATTTTGAACTGCTGGCATTCAACTACAATCCAGACTCGTGCTCATGGAGGATATTGACAGTAGACCAAATGACACGGAGCGTTACCATATTAAAATCATATATTTCTCTAGGTTTGAGAATTACTTGAAACATTTGGGAAAATGTAAGTTCCCAACTCAAAAAAATAACATAGCTCTAGTCATTTTTAGACATTTTGATATGGAAAAGTTATATATTTTGCTTATTGTGCACATTGAGGAGAAGAAGACCCGCGTGATCAAAATCAAGGGACTGAAACATCAACAAAATAAATCATGAATGAAGTAAAGCAATGAAGATCAACACTACACACATCAACTTTTCACACTCAAGAATCTTGGTGATGAACTTATTTTTGATTTATTTAATTAATTTAACTAAAGTTCCATCATTTTTGAATAATGAGAGAAAGGAGGTCCAGAGTAGACTAAATGAAGTGTCCCAAATACAAAAAGTAAAACAAAATTGAATGGCCAATAACATAAAAACTAAGAGGAGGAGGAATATATCAATGTGAAAAAGTTTGTTAAACTCAACTTATACTTATTAACAGTATGTGCTTCAGACGGGTGAAGAAGTGGATAATATAAG